AAAAAAGAGAAAAAAAGAAAAAAAAATCTACTCTAACCATTTTGATTATTTTTATAATTCACTTTATCGAAATGAGAATAACCAAGATATATGGAATAGAAATGACTGAAATGTTTCATTGTTATCTTTGAATAAGATGAACATTTTTGAGTAATACAAATTTCTGTATCTCTCTCTCTCTCACTCATCCTTACTGAATACATAGTGGTGTTTGTCTGTGAGAGGGGGGTGGGGTGGATGAGCGGGGTTATTGATATGTCCACGACATTAACCCCTCAAGACGAGGCTAGTTGAGTTAAAATAAATAAAGCATTACATGAACTAATATCTTTCTTTTTATTTTATAAAAAAACCCAGTTGAATAAATAGAATCTTTGACTTTATTGAAAATGTTTGATGAATTGATCTTTGTTGAATTTTTATAAAATTCAATTAAATTTTATCAATGTTTATTTGAATTTTATTAAAATTTATCATTTAGTAGCTGAAACATTTGAATAATAAATCACTTGTTTCATCGTAGTTTAATCTATCTACATTTGGTCAGACAAGTAACCCTAGTGAACCTTGTACAAAGTATTTGTATTTAAAATCATGTAGATGATCTAGTGAATTAAATATATATCTGAATACAATCGTTTGGTTTTTTTTGTACGAATTTCCACAACCTGAAATCACTAGACGGCTGTTTTGTCTTAGTGTTGACTCATGAATTCAACTGTGAAACTACTACAATCTCCAAAAATTTTTATACGGATAATATCGTGTGCTCACCAATGAATAGCTTCAAGATGAACTTCTTGGAGTTCTAGTGAGTTGTGACCAATGGTGTAAGACAATGGATGAATGGCTGTGCGAAATCATAGATAGATTGAAGTTAGATGTCGGCTCAGTGGTTTAGAGCTTAAGCGTTTGCTTGCGAGATCGAGAGTCATGGGTACAAGTCTCACGTATGGGATCGTAGATGCTTACGGATGAGGAGTTTCATACTAGGACGAAACAGTTGTCTACTGCTTCGAGGTTTTCAATGGTGGTCTAGATTAGATTGACTTGTGAATTTAACTGTTAAAATACTACAATCTCCTCAAATCCCCATACTGATAATAAATATTGTTAAACCTGTCAATATGCGCTACTACATTATTTGTATAGAAATTTAATGGCTGTATTTAGTCTTAAAATCTGTTCACAAGGTCTTAAGTCTCAATGCTACAATTCAAATAATCAACAATTCATTTGAGTTTATGAGTTATATAACTTGTTACTGACTCTAAGGTCATTTAATCATTTTATTCGTGAAATACTACCATCAACAATAATTTAACACTGTCGGTTAGTCATTTCCTATCAATACCATTAACATTATACAAATATACTTATATAAAGATCATCATAAGATATATATCTATTTACTTCAGACTAGATTTCTTCCTACTAAATATAGTATTAATTTATTTCACATTTCTTTTACAATTTGTACTTCACATAATGTTATGTACTTATTTAGCCAAATACCCAAATGTATTAAATATACTTTTGATCTATGTCTAATAATCACTGAAGTGAAAGTTTTCATATAAATGACTAATAAATGATAATATTAGTCATCAGTATGGGGGTTGTGGAAATTGTTAAGTTTTTGGTTGAGATCATGAATCAATTGATGTTAGACCACCGTTGGAAACCTTGTTGATGTTAGACACTAACACCATTGGATGCCAGCTCAGTGGTCTAATGGTTAAGTGCTCAGGCGCGAAGCCAGTAGGTCCTGGGTTCGAATCCCGCTCGCGGGGTCGTGGATGCGCAATGCTGAGGAGTCCCATACTAGGATAATATTAGTGTTATTTGAATCCTTATGTATGTATATGTATATGTCTGTCTATATGTGTGCATGTGTGTATGAACTCGTATTTGCTTGTCTCTCAGCTTATTTTCCTATTTATATATAATATGCTTAATTATTCGAATAAATTAAAGTACCATAACGAAACTGTAACAGAATTATCCTTCAATACTAAATTTGTCATTGAAAATTTATCCAACCAGTTATCTTCCATCTATTTGTTAAATATTAAACATTATTCTTACAGTATCAATAAGTTTTACTGTGTTATCTTTATTTATTAATCCTTTTGAGAAGTATTAGATGATCTTTGTCTCAGATATGACTATATATATATATTCGTATTAAGGTTTTCTTTCTTGTTATACACGTGTGTATGTATAGACTATTTCATGATACCTAACAAGTTTATAAAGTTAACATTTGGTTTTATACTAATTATATACCCCAATTAATTTTTGTTCATTAATCCGTGTATATTTTACTTTTTGGTATATAAATAATTGAATGTCATGACAACAATATCAACAAGATATTTCTTTGAATTTAGTTACCAAGTTAGAGATTGGGAATTGTTTCAATGATTATGAATTATACTTTGATTTATTAGTTAATATAAATTAACTTAATTGTGTCTATTTTATTGCATAATCGATCTTAACTTTCATTGTTTCTTTTTAAATTGGACATCAGACAGTCATGCATTGTGTTGTAATCTTAAATATTGTGTTACTATGACACCAAGTCCATGTTCACAAGGCAAGAAATCGAATGAATCATTGAGAAAATCGGATACATCTACCATGAGTACAAAATCAAATAATCCCATAGTGAGTAGATTGTGTTGTTATTTTATTTTTAAAGTTGAGTAGTTTGTTAACATTTCCTCAAACGATTACGTAACATTAAAAGTCAATGCGATTAACATAGTCTCAACAACGATTAAGATCAATGTGAGATATTTGATTGTTCTCCGTACAGAGTAAGAAATCACGTGCTGATTCCCCAGTTTGTGGTAACTCAAAGGATTGTGTCACTCCATTAGTTCAAAATGTAAGTCAAGTTGAAAATGTTAATTTAATTTATGTATTACATTAGTTATTCACTATATACATGATGGACTTGATTTTATATCTAATACAATATGGATAGATACATGTGAATGTACATAATTCAAGAAAAAAGTCGTATTATCTATGTAGACAAGATGGGTCATCATTCCATAGATGTTTATAGATCTAGATCAATGTATTACATATTTACGTTCGCTTGGCGTAGAACAGCACGCGTTATTTCCATCGATTGATGCTACATACTACTCATAATTTTCAGCATAAGTAGCATTCGCCAAACTACCACAAGTTCGATCTCTTTCCGATATCTTAAGAATTTCCACTGAATGATGATAATTTAGAATTGATTGACCCAACAAAGTATCGTTCTAAGTTATGCATTAGTTATTGTATGACATGATTAAAATGAATTTAAAAGTTATATTATGAATGATAATGATTTAATAAAATCTTTAAATTTTTCAGATCAACACTTGTATTATTTATGTTTTCAATTTTCTTCTTTTTCTTTATTTTTTCTAGACTTTACACGGTCGAACACTTGATTTCCGAATACGTCGTACACCTACCTACACATACTGTTTTACGTAATCAAAATGTAAATATGATTCGTTCTCCTGTATCAACAATTTATAGTCATTCAAATGGAAAATCATCTAAATCAAATGATACAACTGTAATAATAACAACAATCTTAACGGCAAACAAAAAAAAAGAAAGAAAGAAAGAGAGAGAAGCACAACATTGATTCATCATATTCATACATCTTTTCAATTGTATTGTACATATCATCAATTTTATGTTTGATATCAATCATTTTAATATTGTGTAATTATTGTATTATATTCTCATGGCAAAAGTGTATACAGATCAATATTGTGTTAACAAATTGTTTTTTTCTTTCATTCTTTCTTTCTATTCATAATTTCAGTGAATTTTTTTTATTTCTATTTTGTTTATTTTCTTTTCTATGTTTTATACAACAATTTCGAATGATGATTGTATTTCCCTTATTCCAACCTTCATTTAATTTTGTTTACCGGCAACGAACTCATCCACGTTAACGGTTAAATGTGACGTAGAATAAAGAAGACAATACTTAGTGTTGTAAAAATAAACTAATATTACAATGATTTTTTTTTAAAAAGAATCAATAAAGAGTTTTGTAATTGTAATGTGTAGTATTATTAGTAGTATTATGAACTACTATTTTCCATTGTTTGCTTACACACATTTAATCATTGTCTATTACTCTCTGTTATATATCTGAATATAAATAAAATTTGTAAATATTTTCTTATCAGAAAAAGGGTTATAAAGATCGTTGAGATAATAAACCGATCCATGTTAGGCTACCATGGAAAACCTGAAAGCACTGGATGATTGGTTCATCTTAGTATGGAACATGAATACTGTTAAGTCCTGATTCAGTTGTCTAAACAATAAAAGTTCACACACGACATCAAAAGACCTTAGTTCGAGTAGTCCCATATTAGGACGAAATAGCTGTCTAATGGTTTCAGGTTTATATTATCTATCATTGATGAAGTGATAATTATCACAAGAGAGGATAGTACTTTGTATTGAATTTTTATTGTACAAACTAACTGAGATTTCAATCTCTGATTAATTACGGAATATAACTCAGATACATTTATTTTTAAAACATGTAGACATTCAATATATATATACAATGGTTTTGTTATTACAATAAACATTCAGTTAAAAGACTTGCAATTTAGGAAAAAGTAAGTAGAAAATGAGATGTAATAAATTGTATCAATCAATAGTTTAATTGAAAGAATCTTGTGAAGATTTGTTGAGTTTGTAGCTTGTATTTGTCAGATTGTTCTGAGATGGAATAACTTCATAAAGCAGAGAAGAATGAACAGCTATCTAGTTCTGGCGTGTGACTTGGCAGGGCATATACCACCGTAATATCAAGGAGCGAACTCATAACTTGGAAATTATCTGAGGAACATTTAACAAATAGAATCACTGGGTCGGGTTCAAACCACAATTTCAAAGAATTTTTGATGTAGCCTCAAAAATATCCAGTACCACTGGTTATAATTAATTCACTCTCAACATATCTGTACTATTCCAGTCAAAATTTCTTATTAGAATTTCAGGAACATGTTGAAATAAGTCATTGGTGAAACAATCATAAATACAAATTATTAATTAACAATTATATATGAATGAATATTGTGAATAAATCTATATTTGCGTGCACGTTTGGAATAATGAGTAACAACAATACAATGATCATACAATCAAGGAAACAATATGGATAGCAAATTGAAAGAATACAGATTGAAAATACTGATCTTCTGATAGATATAAACACGTGTCTGGAATGTGTGTTGCTACTAATTATAGTGATAGGCATAGAGATTTTCTGTCTGTAATGTAACCATTCATCTTCATTATCATCACCATCGTCATTATCATTATGAACAGAGAATGTTGTTTTCTCTTTTCTTTTCTTCTTGTCAAGATAAAGAAAAATCCTAAAAGTATCCTAATACCAGCATAACTAGTTTTCTTCTCGTTTCATTTCATCCCAGTTTACTGTTATTTATACGCATGTATGTAAACAATTAAGACGTTGTAACTCGCTGATAACAAGTTATTTAGACATAAAATATAATTGAATAGATAAACAAACTAACAAGAGAATAAGAAAAAAAATCAGTTCGATAGCTACTCAACTACAAAGTGAGTGAATCCATGAGGATTTATGCTTAATTTAAATGATTTATTACTAAATTTAACAAGTTTCCATGGTTTAATTATGAAAAGATTGAAAAATTATGATTAATCGTTCAAACTACTTAATAAAGATTAAACGATAATCTTTACAATGATAAAAGGAGAAAACAACATTTTCTTGTATTATAACATGCATTAAAGTAACTTATTAAGGAATACTTAGACAACAGAAGACATAACAACAAAATTCAACTATTTTTAATATTCAAGTAAATGGTTAAGATCCATATAGCTTGTGGTATATATTGGACATGGAATTGAATACCATTAGGAAATGACAAGCTTCATTTGAAAAGATTTGGTTCTATCCTACCAAATGACCTCTATCAACTAGGTATCTTAAGAACATCAAAATATATTCCAACGGTTTCATAACAAGTATTTTTGAGAATGTAAGTAATCTTTAATGCAAGTCTACTAGAACTATATCCTATTACTAATAAGAGAAGGAGAACAACATAAATAACAAAATAAACATCAAAACTCCTTTGTTTAAGTTTATTGATAATTTGAGTACAAGGAAAACTCTACCTTGCTCACTAATCAATGAGAGTGTGATATCTTGTATTCCCACAAAACAAATGCAGCTATCTGTAGATGATTGAATTGAAGTCCCCAATGAAAATTACACTCTCTGATATACAGCACTGACACTATGTGAACAGAAAAATACTCGAAAATGTTAAATATTACACTATTATTGAACATTGAAAGAAATAATGATTATTTCCACCCGTTTTTACTAAATAAACCTTTCAATCTTAAAGTAAATTGAATGTTGGTGAACTTTTAATATAAAAAAAAATTGTGGAAATTCTAAGGTGGTATTCACTACAAATAGACTTTATTTGAGTTATTAATAGATACTTGATGTTTGTTTCGTCGGAATTTTTCTGATGTTCTTGTCATTAGTAAATTATCTTTCCAGTCATGTACCTTGGTTGAACATTAGAGAAACACCCTCCTGGTCTATGATGCAAGTTAATCAGTAATTCTGTTTAATCTTCTAATTTTTAAATGATCGTATACCTATATTTCACATCGTATAATTATTTAATATAACTATGAATTAAATAAACAGTTCCATTTTATAGGATAATTCAGTCATTCGTGTTACATAAAGTTAAATTTACAAGGAATATCTTAATAAAAGTTGTATTGATTCGTCAATTTTAGGTATCATATCTTTATAACGTATCAAATTGACTTTACTATCAGTTGTTTTCTTTACAATCTGAACTGATTTATGAGTAAATAATTCGATTCTAATTCAGTCATTGTCATCAATGGAACTTTTGCCTTGATAAGTGTAGCAAAAATGTTAATTATTATCTTGATTTAGTCCAGTTAAAACTATCAATGAAATATCAGTATCAAGGTTTGTAGAGACTAGTACTTTCACAGTTGAATTCACGAGTCGATCACCATAGAGCTTTAGCGTTCGCTCACTAGACAAAAAGTCTTGGGTTCGAGTCTCACGCATGGGATCATGGATGCTAAGGACTACCATACTAAAACAAAACGTCCGTTCAGTTTTTTTTGGATTTTCACCGTTGGTCTACCTTGGATCAACTCGTGAGTTCAACTAACAAAATTTATAAGAGTTAATAGTACATTCGATGATCATATAAATACTCAATTATTTTCACGCTGCTATATGAAATTATGTGGGTTTTTTTTCTTCATAAAAACGAAATATATCTCACTTTTTACTCGATGGTTTTATAGAGATTCGATATTTGAATTGCATGGTTAACATCATGGAATGATTTTAATTTCAGTATTAAAAGTGTAAGGGATTAGTAATTCGGTATTTTTTTTGTAATCAGTCATATGTTGTATCACAATTGGAATAATCTGTTGAAAATAACAGTAATCTAAGTAACTAAAATAAACATACTTAGAATATCTTAACTGAGTTGTATTTATAATCACAGTAAAAAAAATTATGTTGTAGCTTTTTATAACTAACTAGCTAGTTTCACTGATCCAGTTATATTGACCTAATGATAATCCACATACGGATAAATAGACTATTCTATATTTATATGGTGGTAAAGTACAATGATTTAATCTTGTTGAATTCATGAGTCGATTGAGGCTACACCACCATTGAAAACCTGGAAGCACTGGACGGCCGTTTCGTCCTAGTGGGACTCCTCAGCTCACTGAAGACAATGGTATATGGTGGCGCAACTTCGTGGATTGGTTGAAATTAAACATTAACACCGTTGGATGTCGGCTCAGTGGTCTAATGGTTAAGTGCTGTCGCGCAAAGCCAGAAAGTTCTGGGTTCGAATCCCGCGTGGTGCGAGATCGTGGATGCGCACCGCTGAGGAGTCCCACACTATGACGAAACGGCCGTCCAGTGCTTCCAGGTTTTCAGTGGTGGTTTAGCTTCAACTGATTCATGATTTCAATCTGTGAAAGTTTCTAAAATCTCCACAAACCCCTTCTGATTATTAAAGTGTTTTGTATAAATTGTCTAGTTCGGATTTGTTTTACATTACAAATTAACATAATCTAGAAAACCAGTGAAAATGACGGAGAATTGGATAACTGTTTCGGTCTATTTGAGAATTCTTCAAGAATGTGATAGTGATCAGACTCAAGAACATTAGCCTCCTATGAGAGGGAAATAATAGAGATTCTTATCTTGATACGTGGAAGTTAAAACTGTGGACCGTTGGATTCAAAGTTGGTAATCGGAGAATATTGCGCCGGCCGTAAGAAATGAAAATTGTAGGAATTTTACTTGGTCACTGTTAAGGAATTTCAAACTGAAACGAGACGACCGTTCTCCTTAGTTTTCAGCA